GGGAGGGAGAGAGGATACTTTGACTCCAAAATCGCCCATTTTAGCAAGTGGTACATGATATAACTCACGGTGAATTTTTGACCTGCGAGAGGGGGCTCAACAATGCATGAAATCAAGGACTAGTCAGACATCAAGAATAGAGTTTTACCTTTAATAGCTGCAAATGTTAGTTCAAAATATCTGGCGAAAATCGAGAGTACAACCTAGAAAAATGGCTCAGTCAACATCACTGAACATAGATCAAAAGTCAAGGAATGTGTCAAAACTCATAGAAAGGAACTCATAGAAAGGGCAATTTCTCAATGGAAAATCCAATTCCACATGTGTTCACCTTTGTTGGGCCTGAAACTGGCAGTATACTGAGTTATACTTTTGTTCTTCCATTTTCGGGGAAAAAACACCTGAATTAAAGGTGAGTTTATTAAATATGATAAGTCTCTTACAGAAAAAGAGGTCCATTTATCAAAGATAAAATTGTAACGTAAAAAAAGAAGATCTGACGAAAAATAAATATTCTCAAATACCAGCATACAAAAGTCTTTAGTCCCTGTCCATTAGTTTCCATACTTCAACATATCAAATGCATTCATACACGTAAAATTACATATTCGCAGCTCCATCTCACTAACCTAATTAAAAAACTTAATGTCACTCATGTCATATAATTTATGAAAAACAACCAAAAAGACAGATTCACAGTTACTTTGATATTTATAACCAAGACGAGGAACGTCATTCCAACTTCTCAAGACTTACCAGCCACTCTCTCGTCCACTTGACGTTCACCATCATCAGAGTACCGGGCAAAGTCCAGTGAATCAAATGTCTGAACGCTAGATGTACGGGCTGTGGCATACCAACCAAGAAAACATAATCATTATTACTACCCAAGAGAAGAAAACATTTCTTTGGACTTATTTTTTGGGGCAGATAAGTTAAATTAGAAAGTTATAGGCCTACATATTCTCCACAAAATTTAAAAGATGAATGAGAGTTATACAAGGTGGTTCCTTTTCATCAGTTCTATTACATTAACATAGTCAAAGACAAGCAGAGATGAGGGAAAACATAATTTTGGTAGTTCAGGCTTCCATTACTTTAACATCGTCAATAGACAAAGCAAATTATTGATCCCCTATATCAAGACCGAAGTTGAAAAAATACAATACAACCTACCCTTATAGCTCAATATGGTATGCATACAGATAGATAAAACTAGCATCAACCCTACTTATTGTGGGAAAAAATCAAAGTGAAAGTGAGGCTAGTTTTTTTTTAAATTATCATTCACATTTCGTAGGAATGCCTTTTTAAAATGGTTACGCTGACAAAACACCTTTTTATCTTGAAACTGCAGCGAATAAGAAAAAGGCCTTTTCTCAATTACAGTAATAGTTATGGATCAAACAGAAGGTAGTTCACCACATATATGATATTCCTTTCGTGCAATTTGAGTACAGTCAAACCTGAGTAAAACGGAATCGCAAGGGAGCGGGGGAAAAATTCCGTCTTAGACAGGGGAATTTAGGAGGAGGGGGTAGGTGGAGGTGGGGGGAGGGGGGGTTCAAAGGCCCAGCCGGTGGGATCAAGGATCGCTAGTCCGATCGGCAAGCAGTGGTCAAAACGTCACACCTCTCAGCTGCTATCCTGTCTGGTAATGACATGCGTGTCCAATTACCACCAGTGCTTGCTTTTCATAAAACCACTGTTCGACCTATTAAAAACAGAAACGTTTGAACATCTCCTTTGCTTCCACCCTTAGTCCCACCCACCAATCCAATGCCACCCCTCACTGCCATCATTGTTTGTAACGATTCGAGGAACTCTTTTCTCAGCTGGCCGTACGATCAGGGCAGCAGGCATTGGTCAATCTAATTTTACACCTCTGGCTTCTGGCTACCCAGGTAAGTTTCAGTAGTGGCTGGTTACTTGAGCACTCTCACGGGCAGTCGTGAGATTTCACACCTACACTTCACTGACCATCTGTATCGCTCACAGCTCACACAATGGGGTAACATCTACCCCCAAATAGCACCCCTACTGCCTTTCCTCGCCTTGCGGCATGGCCATGGCGAAAGGAGCTTAAAACAAGCTGTAACCTCCTTGCCATGGTGTTAAGTTTAGAGCAGGCGGAACCAAACTTGCGAGTTTTGTTTCAAATCAGGGCTGAGGGGGCAAAGCATTTTCCGTCTTACACAGGTGAAACCCTCGGAAGGGAGCGGATTTTTCTTTCCGTTTCCGCGTTGGACAGGTTTCGGTTTTATACAGGTAATTAAAGAGGAATAAATCAAGGGAGGAGTAGGGAGATTCCGTTAAGACAGGTTTCCGTTAAGGCAGGTTCGACTGTACTGAATTTGTCCTATAAATAACAAACAAATTACTAATTAAATTTTCGGTATCATTTTATTCATGATGGACCCATCTCACCTCAGATATTCTGTTAAGTACTTTTCTTGTTCATTTTAATCTGCTCTACACGAATTTTGACTATATCCACCTCAAATTATTAGATGAGATGTATGGATATTTTCATAGGAACTATAGGACCAATTGCGCAGAAATATTTGACTTGTTTTAAACACCATATTTAGGGGGGGGGGGGGGGGGGGGCATGCCCCTCTGACCTAAAAAAAATCTGAGGGGTTTCAGACCAACCTGTACTTTATCATAATTCTTTGATGGTTTTTCAATTAAATTAGGTTCGATTTTCTTGAAAAAAATTGACTTGCTAGAGTTTTAGTGGCCATAATAATATACGTGTTTTGCAGCAAAAATTACAGCAGTTTAGCGCCCAACAACAGTGCATATCTGCCTGCAGGTCTAAAAGTAAAAATTAACTTAATTCTGATTGTAATGGGTAACAATGCATAGAAGCATGTAAATCTTATAGGACAGCTAAAGGGAACTCCTGGAATTCATGCATTTGCTTGCTAGGTGCGAGCAATGAACGAATGTTCGCAGTTGTAGGCAGGTGGTAGACCCGAAACTGACAAGCACAAAACGTCAATCAGTTCCATTTATTTACTTTTTTTAGAATAATAAGGTGTAATTTTTTTTTATGTGTTGTAAAAATATCTTGGATGAATAAATGGCAAATGAAATGGGGCAAGCATTGCCTGCCATGCTCATTAACCATGCGCCCTTGGTTAGCAACTCAATTAAATCTTTTTTTAAGACTATCTTGGATGAGGTTTAACAAAACAAATTCGGAGTGGTTATCCGTACAAATTGTGCGAACAACTCTGTCTAGTTATCCGTACAACATTGTACCGTACAATTGTGCGAACAACTCTGTCTAGTTATCCGTACAACGTTGTACGCACAATTGTACAAAGTGCTGCAGGTATCCGTACAATAGTAGGCCTACAAGCCCACAGGCCTACTGCCTACATGTTCTGTCTTTCTGAAAATCTAGATCTAGACCAAGAGATTCTAGATCAGTGTTTCCAATATTCCACCAGCTGAAATTTTTCAATTTTTCATCAGACCTCATCTGCTGATCTGAAGCCAGCCGCCTCATTGATGGTGTTCCCCTCAGGAAGAAAACAAAACAACTAAACCTAGACTCTTGATAGATCTAGAAATGTGTGTTGCGTTGAAACAATGTTGTAAAAATATTTAAGCTTAATTTACCTCCTTCTGTTGATAGTTCTGATGGCCAAAATGACAGCGTGTCTGTGTTTGAAGAAGTATTAGATCTATATTATGAGTGTGGGTTCGAATCCCGGTCTCGGAAGATTTTGTTTTGTTTTGTTTTTTCCTTCTTCTTCTCTCTCCTCCCCCAACTGACCAACAATTTTTTCCCATAATTGTTCGTTTTGACTTTAAAGATTCCCACTCATGGTTTTGAGAAAAAACAAAGAAACTTCAAGGTCTAGTCATAATTATAGATCTACTTATATTTTAATAGTAGTATAGTTCTAGCCTACTTTTCCTTTTAGGCCTACCAAATTAGGCCTGGTTAAAGTTATTACATTGATGGTCAACCCAGGGGAGAACAACCTCCAAAATTCAAATAATTGTACACGAATAACTGTCTGGTTATTAGTACAATTGTACTAATAACTAGTTAGAGTTGTACGCACTATAGTACCAATAACCGCAGCCAAACAAATTTCTGAACAGACTGAAACAGAAAGCCAGTTACTTTAAATACACTAGACAACGGAAAGTCTCCACTGTCGAACGACCAGCCCAACAAACACAATAAAGACTTAAAATTAAAAAAGACACCTACCCTAATCCTGACGCAACACCTAACCCTACCCTTAGAGTTAGTGATAGGCCTACTCTGCTGTCTAAGTTTCTAGTTTCATAGTGATTGCTCGTTACGTAAATCCTCCCCTAGACAACAAGAATTAAATTACTCAGTATGGCAAACTAAACTGTAGCTATATTTCTATGACATATTATTATGGGATGAAAAGCTATAGTACTATAGAAAAGCCAATACAGCGGAATCCTGTTATAACGAGAGGGAGGGGACCGGTGCAAAAGATCTTTTAAAGCAGGATTCTCGTTAAAAGGGATCCAGTAATAAATTCAAGGGACATAGTACAGTAGGCCGAATCTATGAGTCTGGTTTTCTGTTCGTTTCTTTTTGTAATCTCCCCTGAAGATGATTTGGTTCAACATGATCTCTAGGTGTCTTACTTGATCAAAAATCGAATGCGGTTTCTTTCTCTAACGCTAGCGATGTTGACAGCTCGGCGTCAGCTATCAGAAATAGAATCTAAAGTTCTCTAGGCTAACTCGCCCGCTGTGTTGTCCCCCACCTCACCTATCACCTGGCCTATCACGCGATGCATTCTGCTGTCTGCGCAAACGACATCCTCCCCACTCATTCGCTCCGCCTTCATTGTTGGCACACGTGGGCTCTCCTATTTTATGTTTCGCAAGATCACCAACAACTGGCGAGGTTTTGCAAGAATAAATGGCCTATAGATGCGCTGTGCACAGCAGCAGCAATAGTCCGCTATAACCGACTCGCATGTTTGTCTGATTGCGCTATAGCAGTATTTTATTTACAAAGATAAAGAAGGGAAAAAATGGGGTTTTAGAATAGTGTCTTTATAACAGACTTCTCGTTATTTCAGGACTCATTATAATTGGATTACACTGTAATAACAAATACACTCAAGATCAATTAAACAAGCTGAGGATTTCCAGCAGATTTCCTGTGTTAGCCTCTCTGTGCTGAGTATTATTCTGCCATTATTCTAATGTTAAGAGAATCATATGAACAGGCTATACATACGACACGATATCCTATACAACATTTTTAAAGCGCAGGTGAATAAGTTACGTCTATGAGGTAAAAACTAGATCTACTATTATAAAGAACTTACGCAAAGTTGGGGAGGGGGTATCTTCTTTCGTTCTCTCAAAATTCCCAGGGTTTGAGAAATAATCTCGTAGCCTTGGGAGTTCTCTTCCTGATTCAATAAATTCAGTATACAATTCCAAAGCCGTTAGAATATAATTATCTCGAAGCAGTTTGGCAGCAATGCTATCCCATGTTATATCCATGCTGTCACTTTTTGGGAGCAGCGATGCCATAGGTTGGCTGTCAGGGACGCCGCTTTTGGAATCTCCAACATCTGGGATGTCACTGTTATCATCGAAAGGATTCAGATTATCCGCCATTTTGAACAACTGAAAGTCACGTGAACAATATAGGTCTTTTTATAGCACAGCTCTCAACAAGCCACAGAATTCTACACTTACTACTAGATTCTAAGTGTAGAATTCTGTGCAACAAGCTTATTATTAATAAATTTTCCTTCAGACTTCAAACTTTTGTTTGCTTAGATCAAGCTCTGATTATCACAGATAATATAAAATAGTGCCATAATTATGTGTTGTATGAGCTTTTAAAGCTTAACTGCTGTTAGAAATTCATAGCCATAATTTCAACATTATCTTTACCTCTGACTCTGAGAGTTTGTCACACCCATGGAGGATGCTCTGTAGGCGGCACCGCACGCCTGATAGGAGCCCTCACTCGCAGCGGAACTGTGGTCTACCTGCGCTGCGCGTACGCACTGAAATCTAGATAAAAGAAAGAAGTTTTTTTTCCTAGATTAGGCAAGTCAATTAGTAAAAATGCCTTCCACCTGTGTTGTGTTTAAGTGAAAGAACCGATATGATGCTGCAGTGGACAGAAGTTTTCACAGGTGCTGTTTTCCTTTTTTTAAAATCTGAATGAAAGTGTTTTTATGCGCCCAGCGACACAATTTAGATCATTAACATTTATAGGAGGCTGGCTCCGGCGCTACCTGCCAAGGCCTACCCGGGCAGAAAGGGATACACTGTGACAACACCCCAGAAGAAATAATAGTTGCATTTATACAGCGCATATCCATGCTCAAGAGCATGCTCTATGCGCTTTACAACTATTACAAGAAAGACCGAGATACTTGATTTTTTACAAATATTCTTATTCTTGTGTGTACGTGTGTGAGAGTGTGTGTGTGTGTGTGTGTGTGTGTGTGTGTGTGTGTGTGTGTGTGTGCGCGTGTGTGTGTGAATGTATGTTTGTATATAATATATATATGTGTGTGTACTGGCGCTCATATGACCTTATGCAGTTGCGAGCGCCGTAAAATCTCTACTAAAACTAAATACATATTATACATTTTAATTAAAGTATATATTGCTTTCCATTGTGTATGTAAATTAGATGCTATGCGCAGCAGACCTTTATTTTGACGGGACAAAATCTAGAGTCTAGGTTTCTACATGTATCTTGTTTTCATATCTAATCATATAACACACCTTAGAGTATTGAGTTCAATCAGTCAGTCAGACTTGTTTTATGTTTTTAAGCCCATTCATCTCCTAATTACTATAAGACTACTTTTGTCTAAAAGTAGATATCGAGAGGCTCCATTAAAATATGAAATCAATACCCAACAACAATAATGATGAATATTTTCTATGTTAATAAGAAACACCAAACCATATCAAATTAGGGGAGGGGGTAGGGTGGGTGGATAAGAGTTTAAGTCTTGTTTGATAGAACTATACTTCGTTTGGATCTAAATCTATTGTTATAGTCTTCACCTAAGATCTCGCAATTTATAATTCCGGTTCACTTAAGATTCCGCTGTTAAAAAATAAACCAAACAAAGCAACAACAAACTTGACTACCCTAGTCATCCCTAAGATCAATTACCCCCCTCTGAAGTGTGAATAGGGACTAAACACGCTGCTTTCCCTATCGTACTTTACTGAACAAACAAAAAAACTTCAAAGGTCATCCATGCTCATGCAAGGGATCACATCTCTGCTCTAAATCTCGATGCGAGGTCACAGAATTCTACACTTAGTGTAGAATTCTGTGTGCGAGGTACAAGTTTGCTCCAGACCAAGGAGCTTAGAACTAATGGAGCCTCCTCTCTCTCTTCGCGGCGCCGCGAGCAGTACGCCGCGTTGGGGTTCAAATATGGCCACCGAGTGTGGGCTAAATCACGAACTGTGGCGTTTCTTTTTATATAATTTTATCGGACTGGGCCACGTTGTGGGGGTGGGCGGGGTGGGGGAATGCACGCAAGGAAGAGGGGATGGGGCTGGGATGAAAGATGAGGGGCGGGCCTTGGGAAGGGACGGAAGGAGAATGGGACAAATTAAATAAAAATAAAAGAGAGAGAGAGAGAGAGAGAGAGAGAGCGAGAGAGAATGAGAGAGAGAGATAGAGAGAGAGAGTGAGTGAGACAGACAGACAGACAGACAGACAGACAGACAGACAGACAGACAGACAGACAGAGGGAGAGGGAGAGAGAGAGAGATTGTGATCAACTGACGGGCTGACGGATAATGACAGGGAGAGAAAATTATGTGTGTGATACGGACTGTTCAATTCTTTAAGAGTTTTATGTTATAATCTAGTTTAAAAATCAAAAAGATGTGTAAAATAAGAAGAAAACTTGTCCGGGTAACATAAAATTATCAAACATACCAAATTAAAAATATTATTGATCACAATAATTTTGTTTCCTGGTTTTCACAAAGTGGAGCGCACAATGATTTCAAATATTCCACAAAAAAAGAGATAACAGCACCCTTGGAGGTGTGATCGCATGCATGAGCGTGGATAACCTTTGAAGGGTTTTTTTTTCAGTAAAGTATGATATGGAGAGCAGCGTTTTTAGTCCCTTATTACACTCCAGAGGGGGATAATTTATCTTAGTGATGACTCTTGTGTAGTAAAATTTGTTGTTGCTTTGTTTGGTTTATTTTTTAACTGCAGAATCTTAAGTGAACCGGAATTATTGATTGTGGGATCTTAGGTGAAGACTACAACAATAGAATTAAACCGAGTATAGTTCTATCTAACGAGACTCAAACTTTTATCCACCCCACCCTACCTTCTCCCCTCATCTGATATGGTTTGGTGTTTCTTTAACATAGAAAATATTCATTATTATTGTTGTTGAATATTGATTTCATGTTCTAATGGAGCCTCTAGATATCTACATTTAGACTACAGAAGCATCTACTTTGCACACACAAAGGAAAGCAATATCTTTAATTAAAATGTATAATATGTATATACATACACACATAATAATTATATAATATATATACTCATAATAAGTATATATATTTATGAATAAGAATACTTTTTTAAAATTGAGTCTTTCTGCTGGGGCGTTGTATCCCTTTCAGCCTGGGTTGGCCTTGGCATGTAGCGCCGGAGCCAGCCTCTTATGAATTAATTGTTTAAATTGTGTTGCTGGGGGCATAAAAATACTTTCATTCAAATTTTTTTAAAGGGAAACAACTGTGAAAACCTCGGTCCACTGCAGCATCATATTGGTTCTTACACTTAAATACAACACAGGTGCAAGGCATTTTTACTAATTGACTTGCCTAATCTGAAGGACCTCGGAATAAAAACCTTCTTTCTTATCTAGATTTCAGTGCCTTAATCGGGCAATCGCGCAGCGCAGGTAGCCCACGGTTCCGCCGCGAGAGAGGGCTCCTATCAGGCGTGCGGTGCCACCCACAGAGCATCCTCCATTACTTTTAATCTCCTTGCTCCAGACCCAAGGATTTTACGACGAAGGGATCACGCCCAGGTGCGAACTCCTCATCAACGCCTTTGATTTTGCCGAAAATCGAACTCGCAATAGAGCCTACCACCTGAGATTACAGTACAGCCAAGGCATGATTCGTTACAGTAAGGTAGAGCCAACAAGGCCGCCTCATCACACCCATGTTCATCAAATTATCAGGGAGGCGTCTAGAGTAATATGAATATTATGTCAACAAGATCGCCCATCACCATGAACGGCTGCTGAACTGAGTGATCGCTTCATTAATACAGAGGAAAGAAACAACACAAGCTAACAAAGACAGGACTATTCCTGCATCAATAGTACTGAGTTTTTTAAAATCTAATTTGAAAAGTCCAAAGGTGCTGTTATCTCTCTTTTTTTATATTTGAAATTATTGTGCGCTCCACTTTGTGTGAAAAACAGGAAACAAAATTAATTATTGCAATCAATAATAGGCCTATTATTTATAGACCAAGACTTACTACTGTTAGCAATCAGATAAAGCTGACATCGACCCTCGTTGGTGTTTGCTGTTCCTTACACTTAAAGCTAGTTATGGCACACGCCTAGAATCATGCAGTCATATATCTTAAATTCAGTTTTAAAAATACATTTTTCACCATTTCTTATTATAATTAAATCTTTTAGCGTCTTGAAAGAGTATCTTTATAATTTGGTATGTTTGATAATTTTATGATACATGTACTTAGATAAGTTTTCTTCTTATTTTGCCGATCTTATTAAATTTTAAACTATGCTATATAACATAAAACTCTTACATAATTTAACAGTCCCTAGGCTTTCTCAGTTGCCTAGAACAGTCCGTATCACATGCAGAATTTACTTTTTTTTTCTCCCTGTCATTCTATCCGTCATCCATTCCATCAGTTGATCACAATCTCTCTGTCTCTGTCTCTCTCTTCGTCTCTGTCTCTGTCTCTGTCTCTGTCTCTGTCTCTGTCTCTGTCTCTCTCTCTCTCTCTCTCTCTCTCTCTCTCTCTCTCTCTCTCTCTCTCTTATTTAATTTTCCACATTCTCCTTCGTCCCTTCCCAAGCCCCCCACCCCTCCTCTTTCATCCCAGCCACATCCCCTCTTTCTTGAGTGCATTCCCCCACCCCCACAACGTGACCCAGCCCGATAAGATTCTATAAAAACCACAGTTCGTGCTCAGACCACAGTCGGCGGCCATATTTGATCCCCACCACGGCGTGCTGTTCGTGGCGCCGCGAAGAGAGAGAGGAGGCTCCATTAGTTCTAAACTCCTTGGTCACACGAAAGAGTCTACATAACAAGAGGGGCCACTTCTCTCTTTTGAGCCACAGAATTCAACACACTGCTTTGAGACAATTAAAAAAGTGTCCGCAAAATTTGGTGGCGCCCTCTTCGCAAAAGCACACCTTTTGCGAACAGAGTTACCCTATTTGAGTTTAAAAAATCAAAGTGAAACTAGCAAGTTTTTGAATAAATTTCGGAAGAACGCTTTTTTAAAATGGTTACGCTGACAAAAAACCTCTTCCGGAGGAAAGGGTGATTGTTTTCTTCCTTTAATTTGACTTTAGAATGAAAGGCTAGAGGTCATAACAAAAACCTAAAACTCCACACTGAACGAACCCGAACTGCTGATGAACAGCAGTCACAGAATTCTACACTAAGTGTAGAATTCTGTGACAGCAGTCGATCTGCGCACGCAAGGAGGTGCTATTCCTATTCTTCTTCTGGAAAAACGAAAGAGAGCTTCATCTGAAGCAAAGAGCGAACTTCCGGCGGACACTTTTTTGGCTGAGTGGCCCATGGCCCATCTTGTTAGGCCTATGTACTATCTTTGGTCACACCCAAGAATCCATGTCAAAGGTCATGCCCTAAAATGGCAGCTCTAGGCTAAACAAGGAAGTTCTAAAGTCATCTTCAGAACATGTTTCTTTGTGACATGAATGGGAAATTGTTCACTTGAGAGTTTTCTTAAGTCACGCAAGGTAAGACAAAATAAAGGCATAGTGAAATCAATGTACTTTGGATCAAATCTAGATAGATCTAGATCTAGAAGAGGTTGTACGGTTGTTGAACAAAATGCTTATTTACTTACACTTAGCAGATTTAAACCTAGATTTCTAATCTAGAATCTAGATTATATGATATTTCTCCACGACTTCTATTGTTTAGCGGTAGCCTCTCTAAATCTAGATTTCTGGATCTAAATCTAGATCTATATTATCTAGATCTAGATGCGACATTTGTCAAGACCAAGATTCTAGAAGAATGGAGAGCGGAGTCAGGAATAGATCAATACTCTTCAAGTGTTGCGCACTGACTGCCATATATTCAGTCAGTTCTTGTAGTAAATTGAGCTGATGTTCGTGACGAGCAGACAGCAGTGAATCGATAAATCGCGGTCTATTAGCAAAGAACTGCTGGCTCTCTGTTATTATAGATCTAATATTATAGATAGACTAGGAGTAGGAGCACCAGCATCTCATTGTAAAGTAGATTTGGCTTGAGGCTTGAAGTGGTGAGTGTTGTTTATGTTCAAGAAGTGAAGCAGTTTTGTATTCTTACAAGAAGAACCTGGTAAAAGAAAGAATTACTGAAAATATTGATCTGTCATTACTGGAAGGTAGATCTATATTCAAACAATTGATTGTTGTTACAATGGCGTCAATGGCATGGTACTTTCATTACTAGGTAGATCTATATGATATATTATGTAATATAATGTGATTCTAACTTACCTATTTCAGTAGGACTTTCTAATTCATCATAGAGGTAAGCAGGGTTAAATTACTTTGAAATAAATTAAATGAGTTGTTTACTTTGTCTTGGCCTCTGTGGTAAAACCCTCTACCTGTGCTAGTGTTCTCCACATCGGCACTTTGCTTTTGTTTACATAGCCCACATGTCGCTTCCATTCTGATGTTCTTCTGATGAAATAAATTATTCCTTTCCTTTTGCTTTCTTTTTGAAAGCATTGAGGTTTTTTATCAGAATCGGGGTAACGAACAAAGGTGCAGTTAAGATTCACAAATTGTTCAAACTCAAATTTAGTTTCAAAACACCATACAATGTGAATATGTTCGGCGCGATCTGTCGATTTGCGCGATCCATCAATCGCACTGCGCATTTGGTTGATCGAGGAAACGCGCGACAATCCATCGATTGTTGCGCATTCTGTTGATCAGCGGATTGTGCAGCGCTTTTTGTCGATCCGTTTGGTTGCGCATTTTATAGATCTTACTTACCCCTGAGTTTTGTATTATTTGTTGTCGTCCAGAGTGTAATTTAGTTTCACTCTCCAAAGTCAAAACCGAAACTGAATGGAAGTAACTGGAAGTCAGGGTTACAATAACGAACTAATCGAAGTAACTATTGAAACTATTCACGTCCGAATAGACAAAAATTATATTGGGACTCTGAATTGAGTCCAGTATGATGTCCGTTTCGACTTTCGACCCTTGTTTCTAAATATTTCCCGCATTTATGAACATATTTTTCAATTATAATGATAACAATTGAGACGTGAGCTTTAATATCCAGTTGCTAGATCTATCTAAACTGGCCCTCCCTGAATCATTAGTATGAACAAAACTGAGTTGAACTGACCTTACCAGGGGCAAAGTTAATTATGTCGACCAATGAGACTGCGCGTAGCGATATCGCCCTCTCGGCTTATGGGGGAAGAGGTGTTGGGAAGAGGCCACGGCTGTCAGTTTTGTGTGATGTGATTTTTTTTTTAAATTAAAGAAAAACCTAACACTCAACAAAATCAAATTAAACATTTGGAAAGACAAATGGTGGTGGAAGTAATGATGATGCTGTAAGGGTGGTGGAAAGACCCTGAGTTGTCGGTTACCGTGTAGGCTTACTTAGACACTGCTATCGGGTAGATCTAATGAGAGTGCAGTCTTTTAACTTTTGACACAATTACACTACAATAACTTACTACATCGCAAAAACAGAAGTTGAAATCAGGGATAGGTCGGTGAATATCACTCCGAACACTTATTCAATATGGAGAGGTTGGTTGTGCTCGAGGAGCTCTTGTTCAAAGAAACAATAAAGAAAACAATACTTGTATATAATACATTTTTAAGCAACACACAACAATTTATCACAAGCCATTAAATCTTGACCGTATTTGGAATACCAGGTAAAGTACTCTGCCAATCACATCCGTCCAAATACTGAGTACAGGTGCTCGATTTAACCTTTCGTGTCAGTTTATCTGCCTCACTCAACTGTCAACACTTTAAAAGTTCGACACACAACTCTTCTTGGAAGCAAAACAACAGGACACTCAAACTCAAAGACGGGGGCTCTCGTGGCCTAGAGGTTAAGGTGTTGGCCTCTCATTCAAAGGTCCCGGGTTCGAATCTGGGTAGCGACCAAAAAATTTTCTTCTCTAAAATTGTCTCCTTTCACCTCCTTTCCTGCTCTCTAGCAATGTTCTGTTGCCTGCTTTCATTTCCACTTTCTGCCCCCACCCCCTCACCTCCTTTGCCCCCCTCCTCTGGGCTCCTGACTCTTTCTGCAGCCTTTCTACTGCTACTCCTTGGCTCCTCCTTACTGCTGTCTTTCTGCCATACCCCTGATCTTCTGGTAGGAAAGATCTACACTTAGCCTTTACAAAAACAAAACAAACAAAACTCAAAGACTGACATGCTCTGTAAACCTATTTTCTTTTTTTTCTTTTTTTATTCACTTCATCATCATAGTTTATCGACAAAATGCGCAGTAAGTATATATTTCACGGATCGCCAAAGAGCGCAGCGCGATCCGCTGATCAACAGAATGTGCAACGATCGATGGATTGTTGCTCGTTTCCTCGATCAACCAAATGCGCTGCGTGATTGATGGATCGCGCAAATCGACAGATCGCACCCAACAAATATATATTAGTCATATTTGATTCTAGAACTTATGAAAGTGATAAATGGAGAAAAATTATACATGAAGATGCAAGTCAACAAGATGCGACTCATAGAAAAGGAAAATTAAGAGAAGACAAAAATGAAAGAAACAGGAAGTCATGGTATGTCTTGAAATCCAAGACTGTTGAGCTCAAAATGCAGCAGAGTCTATCTTTTAGAGTTGCAAGATATAAATCAGCCATTAGCTGTGCTGCTTATGAGAGAAGTGCGGCTGAAAAAAAAACACCAAAAAAAAGGTAAGATAAGATAGATCTAGTACTTAATTATCCCAGAGGGAAATTTTCCTTGGCTGTGCAGGACCGTAAAATCACGTGCAGGTATACATTAAAAATTTAAATTATATATATTACTTTCATTAAAATTCAATATGAAAGGAGAAGTAAAGCTGACAAAATGTACATTTACATCAAATGCATCATTCAGGATGCAGGAATTTAAATACTACTAGATAGACCTTTGGAATTATATATGGATACATACTTGAAGAGCAACGCACATGTATGCTCATTCTGACAAAAGCCTTATGCTAGATGGTGAAAAACTTCTTTTATATCTTTCTTTCTTTGTTTTTGGAGGTCATATCTGCCGCTTCGTGATCTTACAATTTGTGTGGAAAAGGGGTGTGATGGGTCGTTTATAATGCTTTTTATCTTTTTTATACGTGTGGTGTTATACATTTCATCCATTCTATTAAAATCATATCCAGAGATCTTGCTGGCTTTCTTAATGGTTCTTTGCAGCTGTTCATCTCCATCTGTCACAGATGTAAAGAGCCATTTTTACAAATGTTGTTGAAGTTTTCTGGGATGACCACCGTTGCCAAGGGAAAAAAGTGGCCATCTTGGGAAACATGATGGTAGATGGATTGGTCGAAATGAAAAAAAACATTCCCTTCTGAGGCCCCATCCAGAGGCAGTTGCAGGTTCAGGGCTGCCTTAACTCACTTGAGCCTGAGTTGTTGTTTTTTAACCCAACAACCATTGCAGCCTGACCCTTTTGTGGTATATTGAAGCGTTAACCACAAAAAGACTGTGAAAGCTATCATGATTTTTTTAATACAACAAGAGAAAGAAAGAAATGCTCTCACAGAAAAAGAAAACTGCATCTAATTTGTCCCAATAGTTTATTTCATCAAGATTTTGAAATGGCAATGTCTGGGGTTAAGCAATTTTTTACCCAATTACCCAATTTGTAATAAAATCAAATCATAGCTACCGCAATGAGGCATGAGGGAGTGACTGACTTAATTTGTTACAGCTTAAGAAGTATCACACATAACTTCGCAAAATTTATCACAAAACGAAAAAGTGGGTCGACTGTTGGTTCGCCATTTCACGTGGCTTGTAACTGAAAAATACCCGAGATATCGATTGATAAAGCGCCTCCCGTACACACGCAGGATTCTGCCACTAGGCTGGTGGGGCGTACCGTACACTAGAATTGGCTAGAGTGAGTTAAAGTCCTTTAAAATGTTACTGACTGGTCAACGTGGATAAACAATGGGAGGGACAAGAAACGTCGCTTCCACAACATATTGGTCAGCAATTGATTCATTCAGGGAAACAATAATGACAGCTGAATGGATTGTGACAGCTCATCCTCAGCTTCAGAGGCCGAAATAATTTATGGAAGTGCATCACGCAATGAGAGATTTGAGTGGCCATCTTGGAAAGTTGTTGTTTTTTTTAAATTCTAGTTGATAATAAAAATGATAAAATAAAGTGACTTCAGCTGTGTTGAACAGGTTATCGTTTTAGGCAGTGCCATTATATATCGAAAAAACACAAGGGAGATGGTGGAAAGTGGCCATTTGTACAGGTGGTTTTGTCTAATACAGGTAGCCATAATTTCTTGGCAATACTGACTTCATACATATCTTTAGCAATTATTGTTGCTGCTGTTTTGAGTTGTTTTGAAATTAGATACTTTCCAGGTACAAATTGAAGATAAGTCAAGCTTTATTTATCACACAGTAATATGTTCAACAAAATATCTTTACTCCTGCTAATGCTTGGAATATTTGGGGAGGGGGGTCTTTCTTGCGTGTTACAATGTGTTCAGCCCATATTTTCTTTAATTCAGTTACAACTCAAATATAGTGTACATTGGCCCATACATATCTTGAACTCTTGGGGGGGGGGGGGGGGGGGGGGGTTGACGAATGTGTTCGACACATCCTAATTTGAGTAAATCGATACAAAGGACAATAAAAGAGATTCCGATATTTTAAAAAATCAAGGGGAGGAACTGTGACAGAAGAATAGTTGGAAAATAAATTTTAAATGCCCAATATGTGGCATAGGTAGCCTAGCACATAGTTAGGCTGCCGGACTCATGATATTTAGTTGGCAGGATTTGGGATTCGAGGCTCAGCTCAGTCCGACATTTTGTTCTTGAGAAAGGCACTTTACATGTATGAATATTCTCATTTAATTTAGTCCTTTCGGAGATTGACGTTAAATTCAGAGGCAGTCTCTTAAATAAACTTGCGTCACTGTTGCGAGGGGCTTTTAGGCTATACTTTTTCTCATTTTCTACCCAGTATCGAGAAAAGAACAGACGGATAGGTAGTGCTTGGGTCTTGTTCAGTGTCAAAGTAAGAGAAAGATCAGCATCATGACAATGTAACCAACACTGATCAGAGTACACGACCCACCCTTCTACTTCTTGTGTAATAACTTCCCAATCCGTACCTTCACATTCAAACCATCAAGGGTACACACACATGCGCACAAACACAAACATAATTCTCACATCATACAGCCACATGCTGTGCCACTGTGTTTGTTTTCAATCACACCCAAGCACCCAACACTCACCCTCGGTGACTAGATTCAAGAGAGTTCTAGTGTCCCGTTCACTGTAGGTGAAATGGGCAGCTATGCGTGTGTCTTGTACTAGCAGTGTGTGCAGATCACTATTACACTGTGCAGGGGCGAGCCTGATGGGCTCATGTAACCTGATATTCTCAATGATGGTGGTTGTATTTGTTTTCCATTGTACACACTTGGCGAACTGAATTTGAGACAGCGCTAAGGAACAGTGTGATCTGACTTTTGAGATAAGCTATTTAGCGTATTTGTGTTGGTATTCTAGGGTTTTGTGTTGCCGATGCATAGAAAATGTAGCAGTCCAGTTGGAGAATGGCATATATACTGTTTGAGCTATCCCCGTGAATTCAAGTTTTCTGTGTTAGTTTGAGCTATCCGTGAATTCAAGTTTTCTGTGTTAGTTTGAGCTATCCGTGAATTCAAGTTTTCTGGGTTCGAATTATCTGTGATTGACTGTGTTTTGTTTGCAATAATACATATAGATCTATATACTTACTTTTTCATAAAAGTGGAACAGTCTAAATGGTTTTAGAAATAGCATGTTTACCGCCTGTTATTTTCAGTTATGTTGACAAAGAACTGTTAAATGAGTATCAAGGGAGCTGTCTACTTTATCGTTCTTTCTTTCCATGTGAAAATAAGCTTCATGAACCTCTGCTTGAAAAATTAAATTAATAACCAGTCTCTCTGACACAATCTCTCTCTCTCTCTCTCTCTCTCTCTCTCTCTCTCTCTCTCTCTCTCTCACACACACACACACACGCTCACACCAACACACACTGACAACAATCAAGTATGTAAAATATTTTTGAGTACTCTAGGCTCATACTTACAGGACAGGCTTCTTATTTCGAAGATAATAAAGTTTGTATTGCTTTAGCCAGGTAAAAATAATTTTCTGTACCTTTCTTCACTTGTTTTCTTCTGGATTGCTGAACTCGGAAATTGTTATGCTCTTGGCAAAAAGAGTGTAACATTGGTTCCATTGATTTAAGTCTGTTTTTTGTTTTTCTAACTGATTCAATGTCTCAAAATTCTCTAAAAATTATTTGATGTGATTTTGGATATTTTCATAGAGCGGTTATTCAGTGATTCGTGAACAATCATCACTGAAGAACTTGTCATAATCAGCCCATTGCATTCATGTGAAGTTGAGATACAAGCCACGTATTGTGTCTAATTGAGGTATTTTTCAGGCTGTGTGTTTTAAAGTAATGTTTGGTGAGGCTAGTAACAACACACACCCCCCCCCCCCCCCCAAATATGGGATTGAGGTGATTGTCCCTAGATAGAAAAGGACGCACTTGGCTGTCTTGTTGAGATTTTTGTTGGTTTTGGGGGGGTTTTGTTTGTTTGTTATTGTTGATGGGTGGTAATAGAAGGAGCGAGAGTTATCTAATAACTGTATTATTACTGGATTTTTAACGTTATAGAGTTATAGCTTGAATCCTTCTATTTTAGTTGCAATGATTTCAGGGAAATTATGGAAAAAAGCTAGGTTGCAAAGACTTTCTCGGACAATAAAATGTTTGTTTAGCCAGAAAAACTGGGAGAAAATAATAGGAAGAAGAAGGCATGAGACTGTTTTCAGGTTCAAAGGTCCAAACTTTAACATCTAGAGAATTAATTGTCCTGTTGTAGCTATGTGGGTGAAAAGTCACTCTGTTCATGAAGCATTCCTTCAAGTTCATCCTTTGGTCAAGTGAAAATAATTAAGAAATTCTACCTGATTTGGGGTTTTGCAATTACCTGAAACTGCAAAATAAATTTGTGCTGTCAAAGTGAGTTAAAATACTGAAAGCTTACCTACTCTGAAGTGTCAATTATTTCACCTCGATAGCATCTCACAAGATTCAGGTACATGAATTTGACTTGCATGCACATAGCAAACATAATATTTTCTTATCCGGAATTTTTAAAATATTCTTTGTACTTAATATATATATATATTGCGAACTTAGTATAACGAAAAGATTTATGCATTCCACCAACTTAGCTATTGGCATGCTAGAATGCTTTAATTAATTATAATTATAATTTCAGAAATCACAATTGAGTCCAGTTGATGTTAGCAGATGATTGGATGACACCACTGATTGGTCATATATTCGACTTTCCCTCTTTTGTTTCTACATGTCATACTTTTCCCCAGTACTAAATGACAGTGTTATGGAGTCCATACACTTCTCTTTACTCAAACTCAACTCCAGCAGATATGATCTCAAACTTCCGGTACAATTCCTTTGAAAAATGTAGTTGTCCTGACCTGAAGTTCTTATTATTGCAAGCCCTGGTTCCATCATGTAATATGTAGTGATACAAACTGTCAACTACTACTTGAAGCTGGACCCCCAGTTTTACTAATACAAATCTCAGTCATTTGATTTTTTAATTTTTAACTGAGTTTTGTTTTGTTTTTTGTTTCAGACAATAGTGGCGCCACTTAGGGCCTTTCAATCAGCTCACCACATCTGCAGGGATTGTTTGAAGACAGGCCCACGCTATTGTCGGAAAAATGGATGGTCGAAATCGTCTTTGGAACCGTCTGATTTCCAGGTTCCGGCGCAACAGATCGTACTATTGCTATGATGAGGTGGGGGGTGGCCGTAGGTATAGACGGCGCCCCAGGAGGCAGCAGGATCTGCCTGTCTCTCTCCATGGGTCCACAAGATGTAATCCTTTTTGGCAAAATGGGCCCAGAAGCAGAGCTCAACTTTTAGAAACGCCAAGACCTGCCTCTTATTATTTTCGTCAGATCCACAGAAACCCCACTGGTGGTAACTATGTGCCAAAGTGCCTGTCAGGTGTCAACTTTGGGGCATTACTTCTTGGGACAACCTCTAATGATGATTTCTCCCGGAGCTGCTGGCTGGAGAACAGTTTACACTTGTTTGGAAGTGCTAACCCGGATGATAATGATGATGATGTTGACTGTAGGCAAAGTTTCTTGAGGCGTAGATCTATTTCTCCCCTTGGTGGTGTTGACATTGATGGGGAGACCACCATTAGATCTTCCGTAAGTGCCAGAGGGCAAAGAATTGAGGACCTCTCTGGCGATGGTGACTGCTACTCAGGAGATGGTAGTCGGTCAGACGGAACTGTTTCTGACATCACTCGTTTTTACAACAGCGTGAATTTGACTGGTTTTGCGTTTAATACTGAAGAAGGGATGCATTTTGAGCAGCCACCACCTTATTCAGAATATCCGGAGGACCCACCTCCACCGTATACAGCGAATTTTTTTACTAGACCTAGTAGGCCTAGTGGGTCAACTTCCCGTTTTTCGGATCAGGCTAGTCTTCAGCTTTCTGGCCTCGCCATTCTGTGGTGACACCCAAATGCACTACTTTAGGACTTTGATTTCTGGCATTTTTTATTCCAACTGTGAAACAAAGTGTGAAGTATAAAATTACGTTATTAAAATAGGTGTTGCATAAAATAATTATACCTCATGATTACTTTTCCCAGAAGTGCCTTTTAGAATGATTTTTTTCATGCTCTCGTAATGTTTACAGCTAATAAAGACTATACACTGCATTTTACATGTACACGTTTTTAAAAGGAATTGTATTGTTATTGACATGTTTTTCTTGTTTTATAATGTAAGCATAGATCTAATGCTTGTTTTTTGCTAATAATTTTGAAACTGATAACATTTGAGAGATGATTCCAAGGACAAAGGAAGAATATTATGAATTTCAATGTCATTCCTTTATTGAGGGGAGTAGAAAGCACTGGGCTTACTGGTTGCTATTTCAAATTGGTTTGAATTATTTTGTTTGTTCCAACAGTTCCAAAGTGGTTAAACTGGTAGGCCTACTTATGCAAGTTGTTACATTTTGTGAAAAATATGCTACTGACTACTTGAAGTTGAAGTAGAAGTAAAATCCCCCTCCTTTCCCTTACATAAGATAGTGGCTTCTCTTTATTTTCATTCAGTCTCATTTATTTACTGCTTCAATCCCATGCCTGCGATTATAATTGGACCGAGAAATTATGTGTTGTTAGCTTTGGAACAGAGATTTAATTCTAAGCAGTGTTTTACCTTAATCCTCACAAAATTAATCCCCACTTTTGTGATTCCAAATAAGTAATAAATAATTCCTTTCTGACAGTTTTTTTGAGGGGGTTGTTGGAGGGTGTCACTGGTTGGTACTGCTCCTTTCTCTGGACTGTTTCTGTTTATGTGTTTCTCTTTATTTGACCTGTTCAGGTTCCAGAAGAAAACTTTGTTCTTTGATTCACCTTCTCAAGTTTTATGGGCTGAGACTGTTATTTTTTTAATTGTTTAATTAAGAGAGCATGCTTGTTGGGAAGGATAATTATTTTTACATCGTGAGAATTAAATCATTTGTGAATTGGATATATTTCCGCATGAGCAGTTCTTACTTAATGCGCTGTTTTCTTGAAGATAGATATTCATGCTTTCAGAGCTCTTGTTGCAAGCAGTATTTATCCATGACTATGATAAATCTCCATTATTGGGTGTATGTGTGTTCTGTGAACCTCCAGAGTATCATCATGAAAGACTTCAGCTGGAAAATGTATGCACTACTGTTCAAATGGTCAGAATTTGAATCCTTAATGCTGGATGTTTTACACAAAAAAATGTCCAGTAAGAAGTTCATTTTTTTCTCCTCAAGAATTCACCTTGTAGACAAACAGGTTGAATTGAAAATCAACCTTCTAGGTTGAATTGAAAATCAACCCTCTTAACCCTAAGTGTTTTCAAATTAAATTGGGCCTAAGGGAGAAGAACGAAGAGAATTCTGCTAAACTTCAAGCTAACAGTTTTTATCAAAATAGATCTAGTTGCTTGTATCAGGATGATAAGTGGGCGCCACCTGTAGGTCCTGCTTCTTTTCTCTCTCTCGGAAGTTTCTGTCTGTTTCAGTGTCTGTCTTGCTTTTTCTTTGCATTACATTACATGACGGTTTTTGTGTGATGCTTCTCTTTACTCAGATTAACAAACAAATAAGCAGGGAACTGCACACTTTGCATCGTTTCTGTTGTCAGAGACTGACTCATTCACTTTTTTCTTCATGGCTTTTCATCAGTCGTCTTTCTCTGTCGAGATCCATTATATATATTATTATATTGTCATGACCTGCCATCATGAACTGATGGAAACTTGTCCAACCCAGCTAAAACAAGCTGGGCACAAAACTTGCCTGTCCCACAGGATTTCCTCATTGGATGGCTGGGCTTTGACAAAAGTCAAATCACTGATATATACCGAGTTGCAAAAGTTCTGTCACACCCATTATATTACGATAATTTTTGGTACAGCGTAATAATTGCCATAAGAATTAAAAGTAAGACTTTCATAACTTATGAGACTCCTTGTGCCAGAGCAGACGAAGTAAATCAGAAACCGGAAGTAGTGCGTGGACAAAGTGTTGGTATTGATTTCTCTAGGTCTACATTGTAATCAAAGCTTCCTACATACAACATTTGCTTTAAATCACGTAGACAATATGTAAACACACCTTACACACAATGAAATTCCGTACTTTTTAACGGTTGGGTACTTTTTTCACCTGTTTTTCAAAAAAAATAACTGATAAATTCAGAAAATAAAGGGGCTGTGTGTATGATAAAATCTTAAATTGCGCTTTCTATTGTTGCAAGACACATAAATGTGTGTAGAAGAACCATCTAACACTTGAACAAACGTTTTAACACCACTAGAGCTGTCCAAGACAAGCCGAGACGTCTACCAAGGGCGACAATTTGACATCAGAATTGGCTTAATGTCAACACCCAAGTACGAAAGCCGTTCCAATTAAGTGCATAGACTTCCAGGTACATCAGACAGTCTTAAAACACAATTATTAGACAGATAAGATCTTGGATTACGTGACTATCGCCCTCTGCGTGGAGCCATTCTAACCCTGTTTCATCGAACAAATGGCCAAATTTTGGCACAACAACATTGGCGATGAAACTAAAGATGTTGGTAAAGTGTTCTTTTAAGCAATGGTTAACGTTTTTCATTCGTCACATTGATGGAAGAGAAAAAGTGTTTAAAAGAAGAGGATAGAGGTTTCCCAAATCCAACATCCCCCGAGAGGCCCAAATCAGTGGCTGAAATGTTATGGTATGGGATGGAATCTCTGCTCTTTATCGTACACATTTCGTTACTTTTCAAAGCAACCTCAAAGGACGACGGTATTGTGATGAAATTCTTCGTTACGGTGACTGCTCTTCATGGCACGGAAGATAAAACGTGCTAACAAGACAACGCCCGACCACAAATGAAAGTGAAAACTCCTTCCAAACTCTTCAAAACGTTGTTCTGGACTGGCCTGACTGCAAGACCAACAAGCCTTAACCCAACAGAACATCTGTAAGATGGCCTTAACTGAAGGATTAGAAACAGGCCACACTCCGTATAAACTCGTCAGGAATCAGACAACCATAAGGACATTAATTCAGTCAAAGAACAGATGTTTTGTATCAGTAATTCAAGCTGGAAGAGGCCACACGCCATACTTAGCAAACTTTGATTTGGATTTTGCAAGGGTCAGTGTGAATAAAATTATCTCCCTTGAATAAAGAAAGACATTTGTCAATTCTTGTCATGTCATGTTGGCAGAAAATGAATAAAGATCTCATGTACCAAATGTCTCTTAGCTATGTTGAATAGTAAACGAGTTATTGCACTTTTGAGATGGGAGTGACAGAACTTTTGCAACTCGCTCGGTATATATAAATGTCTAAAGCTGTAGCCTTGTTTTCGTTTCTAATGAGGAAAGTATGCCAGAGCCACCGTCAGATTTCACTTCTATCCCCCCTAAGCCTGCATGCTCAGCACACAGGAAGTTCAATGAAAGGGCTCCCCATATTGGCAAAGAATGTGAAGAGGATTATGAAAGGGTAAAGTCATGTGATCTCTTAGCGGTTGAAATATCTACTGAGTGGGTCTGCAACAAGTTTGTTCTAAAAACAAGACACATAACAGGCAATAGATCAAATTATAAAGACTGATTTCAAGTGGTTGGTTGGAGGGCACCACTGTTACTGATAGTCCTTATTCTTGACTCTGTTGTTTCTGTCTCAGGTCTTTCCTAGTCTTCAACAGCACTGAATGACCGTTGTCTCGTCAATTCATCTCAGTAATAATGGACAGGATGAAAATTTGGGTTTCTCAAAGAACAAGAAAGGATATGCAGTACATGCAGATCTATACAATGTCATTTGGGGGTTAATCTTCTTCATTAACTTTTGACACACAAAATGTTTTGATCTCCTTGCATGCAGTGAAGGAAATTGTAACTTATACAACAGTGCTGATCAGATGTGAGATGTGAGGTTAATGTGAACTCTCTCAGTCATAGACTGTCCATTTATTAGTCTGGCTTCTGATTATTTCTGTTATTGTTAGTGTTCCAGGTCCAGCAATACTTGATTAAAAGTATTGATTTATCTGCAGATATGTGGCAGTACATGTAATGAGATTTTTGTCATTCAGATTAATTTCATGAGTTTGCAAGTTGTCCCCAAGATGGATGTTGTTTACTCCACTAAGTCATGATGTTTGATGGAAGTTTTCAGAGCTATCACTACTATTAGGTTTCTAAATGGCAGTTATTGAAGCAATAATCGGTTACTGTTGGTAAACTGATTGCTCCACAACTTTTGGCTTCTTAATTTTATGATTTTGCCAACAATTGTAGTGCTGTTTTGTTGGGTTTTTTCCAGTTGTGTTTATATTTTTAGTCCAACATACTTTTGTATTCTGCTGTATCTGGAAGGATTCATTTTTGTAATAACATCAACTTTTATTTTGTCAGGGACAAAAGATTTTTTTATCCTCAAATGTCTATTTCATGTTGATATGTTCCATCTATTGTTTTTCTAGCACTGTTATACTTTAACTTTAAGAGTGATGTGAAAGAGGCGAGTCAATTTTACCTTCCGCTGAATTTCTTTTTTTTGTCAATCAAAAATTTTTAAGCATTCCAAAACATTTTCTTCTAACCATGAACAAATTTTTTTCATTTTTCCCTATTTCTCTGCTGGTGGTTGGAGGGCACCACTGGTAGGTCCTACTTCTTAACCATCCTTAGTCTGTTGTTTCTGTCCATCTGTCTTTTTTCCCTGCTATGAATAACAGATACTATGTCAATGTCCTTCTTTGTTTTAATAACAATTTTATGGCCCCTGCAACACAATAAGGTCATATATAAGTGTTGAAGATTAGATGTGTTGCAAGAGAGTAACAAAATTAAAAAAGGAGGAAAAATAACAACTAGAGATGTTTGATAGGATAAAGGAGCAAACCTCTCCAGAGCACCTGCCAACCTCTCCCCAATGTTTCTCTCTTTTTCTCGAACTCAAACAAACAAACGGACTTTAAAAAACCTATTCCATTGGTGGTTGGTGGGTGCTCTGGTGTGGTTTGCTTCTTCTTTTCTATAAAACATCTATCGTCCTTATCTCCCCCTCTTCTTTCTTATGTTTGCTATTCTCTTGTAACACCTCTAATCTTCTGGCGCTCATATGACCTTATGCAGTTGTGAGCGCCGTAAAACTTCTACTATAACTCACTAAAAACCTATTCCTCTTACTGATGGTGAATCACCTGATGAGACTGAGGTCTCAGTGAACAGTAGCTGTGTGTAGTACGAGTATAAGGAGAGTGGATGAGACACAACGGGAAGAGTTGTTTTTGATTGACCAGTTAAAGTGTTTGTTAACACTTTGAGCCAGTCGTTTTCACTTTTTCAAAAACAATCTACGTTTTTAATTAAAGGCATGGTGTCATGGAAACTGTCATTTAGTGCTAGGAAGAAGGTTTTTTTTAAAGAAATAATATAGCGACAGGGGAAAAAATGAGATTCACTTTTAGTGGTTTGGAGACATCTGAGTTTTATATCTTAAATGATCTTACTCCATTCTTTTATGGAATATGCCTTTCTTCTCCCCCTTAAAAATGCTACGTTACGTTAAAATGTGTCAGACACCCCCCACCCCCCAGAGTGTCACTCAAAATTATGATAAAAAATGTAAATTTGTTTTTCTTAGTTAGCAAGTCTCCCTTGTCTCCCCTATACAATGTGTCACAACGCGTTGGAATCAGGCGCTCGTCAATTTGTGGGCACGTGAAGTTATTGGTACAGTGGAATCCTGTTATAACGAGAGGGAGGGGACCGGAGCAAAATGTCCGTTATAGCAGGATTCTCGCTATAAGGGATCTAGTAATAAATTCAAGGGAAACAGTAAAGTAGGCCTAATCTATGAGTTTGGTTTTCTGTTTATTTCCTTTTGCTATCTCCCCTGATGATGATTTTGTTTCAACAAGACCTCTAGGTCTTCCTTGATAAAAAATTGATAGATAGATCTAGCGATGTTGACTGACAGCTCGGCATTGGCGATCAGAAAGAAAGGGCTCTGGGCTAACTCACTCGCTGTGTCTTCCCCCACCCCACCACACCCTGTGGTGCATTCCATCAGCTTGCGCACGTCACACATTCACTCCCTCCATCACATTGCTGTGACCTCTCCATCCCCGCATCGGAGAAGTGAGAGGCATGGTAGGCCTTGATAATCTAAACTAGGCTTACGCTGGCCTATCAAGCGATGCATTCTGCTTGTCTGCGTATCCCACACCCTCCCTACTCAGTCGCTCCAGCCTTCATTTTTGACACACATGGGCTCTCCCATTCTTTGTTTCGCTAGATCACCAACTTGTTTCTCAACAGGCGAGGTTTTAGTTTTATATTAATATTATGTATGATTGGCCCATGCACTGCGCACAGCAGCAGCAATATTCCACTATAATGGACTCGCGTGTTTGTCTGATTGCGCTACAGCAGTATTTTATTTACAACTGTAAAGAAGAGGAAAAAATGAGGTTTTAGAATAGTGCCTTTATAACAGACTTCTTGTTTTTTCCGGACTCTTTATAAGTGGACTCCACTGTGCCATCTTAAAGGTTGTTCATTTGCCTTGCTTTCAATGAAAAAAATATCTATTTATCTTAAATAGAAGTCGAAATATTTGCGATTGAAGGAGGTGGGGTCACCTGTTTCAGAAGTAAAATTAAAGAGAAAATGGCCGCCAAAATTTGATGACTTCCATTGGCTAAGAGTAAGAGTCCTTGGAAACTGCAAATTTACATTTTTTGTGCCTCTTATCTATGTTTTACCTTAAAATGTACAAATAAAAATGTTTTTGAATGGACTTAGAAGATGTTGGGCCAAAAAAACAAAAATTAGAAAAAAATGTCAGAACCAGCCGAAAAATGCCGATTTCTCGGATTTCATTATTTTGACAAACACCAGATTTCACCACGATGCCTCACATATTAAACAAAAGGTGCCAATTTCCCTGATCGATCTCGACTTGTGAAATTTATTCATTATGTGACTGCTTTTCCTCTGGATCTGAAAATGAAAGTTCAAGATTTCTTTTTTCGTAGCCTGATTTAGCACCTCCCATTTTAAAAAATACACATGACATACGAGGAAACATGACATTTTTTAACAGCGTGGTTTGTTTGTTTTTAGAAGTACTCATGACGTGCTAAGATACAAAACAGC